TTTGTCCTTCCATGAGGGTTCCTGCTCTTCCTTCCCTTGTTCCTCTGGTTTCTGCTGCCTGAGGTATTCACTAAGCATGTCATCACTCGGGGCCATCTTCCTGATGTATTCATGGATGTTTGTTGTTTCATCCTGGATAGTGGCTCTGATGCTTACTAATCCTCGGCCTCCTTCCTTCCGCTTAGTGTACAGTCTCAGGATGCTGGACTTGGGATGAAATCCACTGTGCATTGTAAGGAGCTTCCTTGTCTTGATGTCAGTGGCCTCCTTCTGCGGCCAGCTTATTATGCCAGCGGGGTACCTGATGACCAGCAGAGCGTAGGTGTTAATCCCCCCGACTTTGTTCTTTCCATTCAGCTGACTTCTCAGGACTTCCCTTACTCTCTGCAGGTACTTGGTAGTTGCTGCTTTCCTTGCAGCCTCTTCATGGTCCCCATTTGCCTATGGGATCCCAAGGTAGTTGTAGCTGTGCTCAACATCTGCTATGTTGCCTTCTGGTAATACAATCCCCTCAGTTCTGACTACCTTCCCTCTCCTTGTTGCCATTCCACCACATTTATCCAGTCCGAATGACATTCCGATGTCCTAGCTATAGATCCTAGTTGTATATACAGTACGTATATACACACACACACACACACACACACATATATATATAGCCTATATGGACCATTCTACAAAAACAGCAGAAGTGCCGTCACTTATCTTATTTTTGCAGTCACCAAAATTCTTAAAGTCACACCCCTTTACCTGTACACTCCATGTATAGATGTTCCATATTGTAAAATATATAGCAACTGTCAACACTGAGAACTGAGACAGTCAGCTCTTTGGGTGTGAACTAACAGAAATGGTGGGATACAGCTGCACAAAAAACATTAAGTAGTCAGTTGGCTAACTTACATAAACAGCCCAAATGACATCTGAGGCTTCTGGGACATTTTACTGATAACCTAATATACTGTATAATGAGATATTTCTGATATTTTGTTTGGTACATCTCCAGGTGGGAACCAGAACTCAACTTCTCACACAACACGGATCTTATGTTGGATCATGACAGGACCCAAGAACCTGGAATCCCGAACCAACCACATCAGAGCAACATGGGCCAAGCGCTGTAACAAAGTGTTGTACATGAGCTCCACCAAGACTGACTTCCCCACTGTGGAGCTGAATGTGAGTGAGGGGAGGGAAAACCTGTACTGGAAGACCATCCGAGCCTTTCAGTACATCTATCAGAACCACCTGGATGAAGCAGATTGGTTCCTGAAAGCAGACGATGATACCTTCATAGTCATAGAGAATCTCCGCTACACCTTGTCCAAATATGATCCAGAGAAGCCATTGTACGTGGGCAGAAGGTTTAGCCCTTTCATCGCTCAAGGCTACATGAGTGGAGGAGCAGGTTATGTACTCAGTAAGGAAGCAGTGAGAAGATTTAACAAAGGGTTCCAGACTGGGGAATGTACCCACTATTCCACACTAGAGGACGTCGCTATGGGAAAATGTATGGAGACAATGAAGGTGGAGGCAGCAGACTCCAGAGACGTGAAGGGGAGACAAGTATTTCATCCTTACCCTCCAGACCGTTACGTAGTGAAACGTCCCCCAAGACCACGGCCTTTGTATCCGCTTTATGACTACTATACTCCAGTAGAAGTAAGCACTACTATATACAAAAGCCTATGGGAAAATTGGGTTTAGCCTGGTGTCAGCAAACTTCAAGAAATGAGCATAATGTCTCAAGTTGTCCACTACTGCAACATAGGAATGAATTCATATTCAGATATGTACCTACATTGGAAACAACAATCCTTTCTTAACCAACCTACAACTTTTGATAAACTTATATTGGGCTTTTCTAAAATTGTCCAGTACCAGTTTTCTTGTTTAGGATTGCAGTAAATGTTTGTGAGTGTTACAGTTGGTCATTCATAGGGGGCAGAGTGAGCAAACAGGCAGGAATCAGATGGCTGACACCAGCGATGATGATTCAAGTCTTTATTACAGAGTAAGCAGGTAGTGGAGAATACAGTTGGCTGACGTGGTCTGACCAGGGTTGAGCAGTGGAGGCGGAGTTGTGGCCGTGGAGATGATCCGGGAGGTGGGAGATGCAGAGGGTGAGGGCTGCTGGAAGGTGCAACTCACAGCTGGACACAGGGTGCAGGTGTCGATGGGCAGGTGAGGAGGAAGAATGTGACTGGAGACTCAGAGAAGGCGAGTGATTATGCTGGAGTTAGGAGAAGGCAGGCGGATGCCGGCGTCAAGGCTGGAGGCAGAGCACTCAGAAGCCATCAGGTAGAATAAACCAGCGATGTGGCCACTGGAGCTTAGGAGTAGTGATGGTCCTCTGACACACGTGCGGTAGCTCATGAAGCAATTGCATCAAACCACAGTGCTGAGGCATGTTTTGGTCACATGACTAGTGACATTTGAAGCACTTGAGTGACGTTCGAAGCAATTGGGTGCCTGGGATGTCATACAAATCAGCTGATTGGTTCGGTTTGTCATGTGAATCACTTTGCGGGATAGAGTGTGTTCAGGGAAAGTATATTCCTATTTAGTGGAGTTCATTTGAATTTTTCTTTGCAGAGCAGGTTGGTTTGTTGCTTTGAGAGTTAGTAGTGTTGTAACAGATTGTGTATTTAGTGGAGAATCACTGTAGATAGAGAGATAGATCAATAGATAGCTAGATAGTAAGATGCTTACAGTGACTGTTATCATGTTGGTATAATGGTTTAGTATGTTTATCTTTTTATTTTAGGATGTTAGCCAGAACAATGACAACAACATGTTGTGTTCACCAGCTCTTCCTGTTTTGGATTTTGGGTCTCACCAGCCACAGCTTGACACTGCACCTGATTGAACTCAGTTCCCTACAACGGTTGCTCATTTGTCCCTCTATATAAATCTGGACTCTTCCCTGAGTCTTAGTTGGATCACTGTCATGTACACTCCCTGTTTCTGACTGTTTTCTGTCTAGTGGTCATTCGGGTTTTACCGGCCATTCTGCCTGCCTGCATGTTGCTACCTTGACTCTGACATCTAATCCAGTTTATTCTGGACTGTCACCTGTTTCTTCTAGTTTGTGCTACATTTTTGGGTTTGTTCTGTGTACTCTTAATGTGGCTTCTTTTGGAGGAGATTTTGTTGTGTGCTAGTTTAGTTTACATTGTCTTTGTCCTTTGTTCTTTGCCTTTGCTCTGCATTTGGTTTAATTTGGGGTTTTGTTGTTTCCAGTGAGGTGTTCTTCGTATGTGGATTACAGGTTAGCCGGAATATTTTGTTGACAATTTCACATTATTCTGGAGGTGTGG